GCATCTCAGCGTTTGACAGGTTTTCCGGGTGGTCTCTTGGAACGAAAATTATCCAACCCATAAAACTGACAAATCATTCGGAGGGTACAAACATTTTGGGCTCTTGTGGTAGAATCTGATTTAGGGGTACAAAATCCTCAGTTTGGATGTACATAAAATCTAAAAAATTGAGTTCTGCACCCACAATTTGGCGCATAATCACCGGACTCAACTTTGTACTGGAATATAATTAGAGTAAAGCGTCGTGCTGGGCTTAAATTTGGTGTGCAAGATTTCAAATAATTCATCAAGAAACTGGCCACATTTCAAATTATTTGATCAACTTTGTGCTGAGTTATCGCTTGTCAAAGTAAGTTGCTTCATGAAAATCAAAAAAAAAAAAACATTATGCCGTTCATCTTTGGACTATCATTACAATACCTAGACTTGAGGAATCGCCATGTACCTCTGTCGGAAGTTCTGATGGACAGCAGTACGTCAGCCTTGCTTGGGATCAAAGTAAACGTAAAAAGTCGGAATTACTGACCATCTTGTTTACAAAACATCGGGAATTTGCAGTGGTGAATCGTTCGGGTTCGATAATTTTGATCATTTCAGGAGAAGCATAACTTTTTGTGACCTACACCTGGAACAAACAGTCGCCCACGTCTCGAATGCACTCATGACATTTGACTCAGAAAAGCTTCAGATCTAAAAGACATTTCCTGATAATCATCAGAACCGGATAAAACTGTCTCGGTACCTTAGTTCCTGATATCATAGCCTTTTTGTGTCAGATTATTTTCGTAATCCTACTGTCAACTCCGTTCAAAATCTTGAATTTCGAGATAGCTACGCACGAATATTCTTTGAACCACATAAATACGTATTCTAGACATTCGGAAGTGAAAGTGCAATTCATGTAGACAAGTCAACGAAAAAAGAAGAAAAGAGTCCGTTTAGGAACCTGGGCGATCTAAAAATAGAAGGATCACCCACTCAAAAAGGACTCCAAAAAGCAACCAAAGTTTTTTTTTTGAATAGAAAAAAGTTGAGGAGGAGAAAAAGGACATTTGGATGAAAAAGCACAATACACAGAAGATTAATGAAACAACGAGAGGAGAGAAACATTGAATGGGTGAAAATGAAGGGGGTGTAAAATGGCTTGCCTACGTAACAAAAAAGGCAAACCGAGTGGAAAACGAGAAATTTTGAGTTTCGGAGATAAATTAATAAATGGAAGGGAAGAAAGGGTATGAAAAAATGAACGGTCAATTGTCGAGAAAAGGGTAAAGAACTAAAGAATTAAAAAGTGGAATGAAGGGTTACTGATCATTGTCTGGATGCGTACCAGGAAATGAAAAATAATTAAGCGGAGGCTGGGAACAATTATAACGTCATAGAATTGGAACTGGGTGGCAAAATGATGTTCAAGAAATACGGTAAATCCTTTATTAGAAAGGAATCCTCTATTAGAAACGGTCCAAGGTACCTTTGCAGGGCTCTTCTAACGTAACACCTATTATAGAAGGACACCCTAACTTTTAACTTTGAGTCGACTTATCTCGGTTCCTGACATGAAAAAGTGGTCAGCTGATAAATTGTTCATCATAATATCACAAACATTTTATCAGTTGACTTATTTTTGATATCTTGAATATGAGACAAGAAAGATTATCTCAATTTAATTTAATTTAATTTGTTTATTGATCAGGTGTAACAAAACATTAGAGGGGTAGACATGAAAGACTCAGAAAAATGCCCCTCACGAGGCCGATCTGAGTAGGGGAGGTGAAACGGGATAATTTAGATATTGACACAGGAAAAATGTAACCGGTAGAAGAAGAGAAAAGAAAAATAGGGGAGCAAATATATCAATAACGAGTAATACTGGAAGAAATTAAGGATTCAAACTCGGAAGGTAGGAGAAATCGGGTAACTTGGGAAGTGATGGCGTTCCACAGGGGAACAATTGAAGAAAAATAGTCAGAGGAGTAGGGCTGAACATTAATTAAGTTCATAGGGCGACGAGGGGAGGAGGAGTATTTGACATGTGCATTTAGGTTAGGCAAGTAGGCGGAGCCATTTAAAAATTTAAAGAGAAGAATTAGTTGAGCTTTTAGCCTACGATGTCGAATGGAGAACATATTGAGGATAGAGAGACGATCAGAATAGGAACTGTACTGGATATTACAACGCTGGAAAATACACTTAGAGAAAAATCTTAAGGGAGATTCTAGTTTTAGAGCAAGGCGAGAAGAAGGCGGAGGGGAATAAACTACAGAACAATATTCAAGAATCGGGAGAACATAACATTTGAAAAGATGAATGTAGAATTCTGGAGACTTAGATCTAAAAGACTTTAAAAGTCAATCTTGACAGTGTAGAAGCTATTTTTATAACAGGATTTACGGTTTCAGAAGCCTTTCATTTTTCCGGTCATTTTTCCGAATACTATCATTTGAAAAATCGAGGAACGCTCGTTCAAAATTCATAAAAATTCATCACTTTTACCGAAACTGAGGAAGGTTTTGAGCAGAAAAGAGTGTTTGAACAAATTCTTGTGAAATTCTCAATTTTCCGAAATAATTTCCATTAGAAACGTATAGAAATTTTATATTTTGAACATCATATCTCTGAGGAGGCCCTTCTATTTTTTGGAACCCCTCTATGAAGACCCTTCTATTGGAGGGACCCTTCTATTAAAAAGGCCCTTTGAATACAGGTTTTACGGTATTTTCTTTGATAAGAGAAGTTCTATTAAAATTAACAGCTTTCAATATCTAAAAAATCTAGGCAGAAGGATTCTTGACTAAATACAAATCAAAAAATGGGCGGTGCTAACTGAAATCCTTGTCTTAAAATTGCCATTTTTCTTGTCACGTAGCTCTTATATCCAAAATTAAGGATTTGCGAATTTCAACGATCGAAAAGTGGTTTCAGTTGCAACAAAGGCTTCAGATCAAGTAGAAAAAAAAATGTATTGTTACTATTACTATATAGCAAAATTAGTAATATTTTAATCTTCTGTTTTTTTTGTTGTTATGGATCAAAATATAGAAGCACGCGGTTTCATAGGGTTTCTAACTGCACAACTGTTTTTTCAATGATTCGTCTTTTATCAGTTTAAAATGAGACAAACTTGGATAAACAAAGAACGACAAATAGTATATTACAATGGTCTTGAAATGAGCTTCGAAAATATTCAAACTATTATTTTCAGCCGGTACTATTTAGGTACAAACTCTAGACATCTGAAAAGATCTTTGAAAATTGAAGCGTCTTTCCCTCGCCGATGAAAGGACCTCCTACGTTTCTTGAAATGAAAAAAACAAAACAAAGCAGAAGTCTTGTGATTTTTGGGACATTGGCAAACTAGACACTATCCGGAAATCAAAAGACAAAAAAACGTAAGGTTTTTATACCGGTTTGTCAAAAGGGTTATCATGGGCGGTACTCTTGCAAAAGTGCATATTCAAGAATCTCTCCGAACTGTATTCTATTTCAAAAAAAGTGAAAGACCACTCTGATTTGATAAAGGGAAAGGGGAAGTTGAAAGTTAAAATGAAAAACGAAGAAAAAGAAAAATAAGAAGAGATTGTAGAACATGTATAACTGCCTGGCACTTGAAATGGACTCGTCAGCAAAGATGACGTAGAAGAGAGAATTTTGATGATTTTAGGGTCCATAATGCGTTTTTTGAAGATTCGGAAAAGGGAGAGGATAGAATTTCATCTCTTAGAAGGAATCACTGATCTTATTAAGGCAGTCTGTCTTTTTGAAATTAAGCGGAAACAGTTCAGGTTCGCTCTAAAATTTTTAGAGACAGTTTTTCGACATTTCAGACTATAGAATAGTTTGTAAATGAGTCATTACACAATTTAGAGAAAATACCGTATTTCCTCTATAGACGCGCACTTGAACACACTATGAGCCCACTTACCTCGATCCCTGTGAAAGATATCAAACAGTGGTCAACTGATAAAATATTGGTGATATTAAGATAAAAAACTTATCAGTTGATAAAATTTTGACATCTTTCACTGGAATCAAAATAATTGAGCTCAAAGTTGATGGTTTGGGTGGGCTTTCATTTTAAAAAAATACGGATGAAAAATACGGATGTTTCGTAAAACTACAAATTTTGTGAAACCTAAACCGTCAATTTCCGTTGTCTGGTTTTTGCCCCAGATCTTAACAATTACTGATCCTTTATGAGAAAACAGAAAAATCTGATTAATGTTCCAGTGACGCCCAAACGTAATTGATTGAAGAACATCTCGAGAAAAGAAAAACAGAACAAAAATCAACATTTTTCCAAATTATCCAAAAGATATTTCAGAAAAAAACTCTCTCAATAAATCCAGAGGGTGGATAAAGTTGTTTCCCTGGGTTTAGCTAATCGAATTGGGTCATATGGAGATCCGTGATATCACATAGCTTCTAGATCTATCAAAAATGTCTCACGAGTTCTGAAAATAGGTAGGCAATTAGTTACTGCAGATCTTTGGGAAGTCGTTTCAGAATTCACAATTGTCACTTCAAGGTTTTTGGTTCCTTGGTTTACGTCTGGAAATGCGCATTGTCCTCCACCCTCATTTCGAGAAAATGGAGGTGTTTGAACAACAAAACTGAAAGAGACGCAACGGATTTTCAGATGCGTTAACATTTCCTGTCATATATGGGTGTACTCTGTTATTTCCAGATCATCCCCCATTGGATTGACGAAAATATTACATAGGATTTTGGCGGGGGTTTAACATTTTCAAGTCAAAATCTGGAAGTCTTATTTTAACTTGAATATTATTAGGAAGAGAAAATCTACTCGGTTCGAAAAGTGACATGGAATGGATATTGGAAAATAAAGATACGTCAAAAACCTAAAATAAATTTTCTAATTGAAATCTAACCAATCTATCCGAAATGGGTAAACACATAACATTTATGTACCCATACAATCATAAAATCATAGAAAATTAAGTCCAACACACAACACACAGCTTTCGAAGAATTTATTGATTTCATTCATTCTGAACAATGGGTTCAAAAAATGGAGTATTTTCAAATTCTACACGATTGAATATAACAGATCTCTCCGAGTGGAGAAAAATATGAAGATATTGAGTGGAATTCGGAAATAGAAAATACCAAACACGAGTATAGCCAGCCAAACGATAGGGTTCTCCCAGTGACAGTAGTACACTTTGATCCAATGTTGATTTTGCAAAAGTTATTTTGAATTTTTTGAAGTTTGACGATTTGAGTAGCTCCTGGAAAATGAATAAATTATTACGGTGGCGCATAATTACCCGGACTGAAAAAAACGGGTATATCTTTAAACAGGAGTGTCTTGGAAGCACGAAAATTGGTAGATATACGTTTGATTCAAAGCTAATGAAGTTTTCAAAGCGATTCGTCAAATCTAGGTATTGTTATGATTGTCCGAAGATGAACGGCGTACTATTTCTTCCTTGATTTTCATGTGGAAACTTTGACAAGCGATAACTCAGCTCAAAGTAGATCAAATAATTTTAAACTTTGCCAGTTTACTAATGAAATATGTACTAAGAAAAAATGCGCTCCAAATTTAAGCCCTAAACTTTAATCTAGGAAATTATGCGGATATCTGTATACAGTAAGAAAAACTTTGAAACAAACCTTTTTCAAATAGACAATGTCTTCCGCATAAATGTTTTCTACAAGAATATCAACTGAAACAAAATGAGTAATTTTCATTTCTTGAATCCCTGTGGATATAGTCACTGAATTGATAATTAGTTCTTCAGCACTATTCCACTGTTTCAGTTGACAGATGTTATCCACTTCTAGACATTTTTCGACGTTGACTTTGAATGGATATCGTATCTCGATGACTTTCAGAATTTCAGGATGAACATGTGATAGAATTCTGAACACATCTTCTTGATTGACACTCCCTATAATCAAGGTTCTGACTCGAAGAGGTGGCATAGATTTAAGACATTGGTCCGTTTTTTCCGTAAACTCCGAAGTAAGAGAAGCAACTTGATCATAATCCACTTTTTTACGAGAACCATTATCCACCTTTCGAGGACGCCAGTTGGGATTAGAACGATTGTGAAATGCATGAACAAAAGAAAAATTTACAAAAAACTCTTCCAAACACGTCTTCTGATGTTCGAGATTGATTTTGAAGTCATTCAAAACTATTCTTCCTAAATCCTCGCCTTCCATGGTCGTTTTCCCACAGTGGACATTATGAACTCCATATATATCTTTTCCATCTCCGTACCTCACTTTTTTGAATAAACCATTTCTCTGAGCAATGGATGTAACGATTCGATTTATACTGTCAAACTCGATTGAACACTTTTCGATATGTGGTTCCGGTTTGATATAATCAACGCACCTCCGGATTCCAGATGACGTTTTTCGAAGTCTTTGTCTGAAAAAAGTGGATAATTAAAGAAATAGTTGTAGAAGAGTTACATATCAAAACACTCCAAGTTTTTTAGAACCGATTCCATGATGAATGGATTTTGTGACACTCTCCCGCTGAGTATGACATCTATAGAACTTGCCTGGAAACTAATAAAAGAATTTGTAATTTTGACACAAATGAAACTAACCGATACTTCATTTTTCAGTTGGTCCGCTTCCTGATTTCGGAGGGTAAATATGAATTGTTTGAACACAGAACAAACCCATTGTTGGTGAAGGACATCAAAAGACAGATCCAGATTATCATCACTATTCTTGTAGTAAATTTCAACTCTATGAAAAGTTGAATGGTGTTTGAGTAACTGAAAGAGCGGATGTACTATGAAATCTGTATTAGTGGGACAAGCTTAACTCACATGTTTTACAGTCACCAAGTTCTCAGCCGACATGATGCCAAAATACATATTTAATTCCAATTTCCTTCCCTGGTTCCATTCGATTAATGACGAGATTCCATCAATGTTTACTTGATTTGTTCTATGAGAGAAAGAAATTTCTACAAGACTCAATTCAAATGGGTCCATATTGAGAATGATTGACATGGCTTGATCCATATCGACTGGCTCCAATATGACAAGGCTAACTTGAAACAAATCCTTTCTCGATTTCAATGATTTTTCCAAACAATCAAATAGCTTAGAAGTTATGAAATCCAAAAACACCTCTTCACATTCTCGAGTTTCGTCATAATAACTGTTGTGCCTCAATACCAAGCTAATTGTTGGAACTCTTTGATTGGAAATTATCAGCTCAAAATCTTCACAGAAAACATTGAAAAACGTATCATCAATAGTCAGGGAGTTTCTTAGTTTCTTGTTTTCTTTTGACTCTAAAGACATCGATCCTCCTCCGATGTCTTTATAAACCAATTCGGTGTGAATGTAATCCGAAACTAACTTCACAGTAATGCTGCGACTGTTATATCGAAATTCCATTGACGAGAAGTTGTTCTTGGTGGGGAGCCATTGATATGCATGACCCATGGTGAGCTGAAAATTGTAAAAGACCTAATTGGTTGAATTGCACGCTCTTCCCAGTTAAGAATTTGAGCTGCAAGTTCAGAGGAGCTCGGTACGCGGCGCCAAGTTTTTCTTCGCAAAATTTTGTAAAAATCCATCTTTCTAAGAAGAGGAACCGTGCTCCGCGGAATAAAACGCTTGCAGCTCAAATTCTTAGCTAGGCAAACTGTGTAAAAACTGGTAAGATGTGTACAACAATATAAAACTGTACGGCTTTCCATCCTGTTTCTTATCATGTATTCTATTGATTTGTTTGTTTATTTAACACATGATTCTTCCTTTTTCTCTTTCACTCTCTTCACAAAACATATCTCCCAATATTGTTCTTCAAACTTTTTAAAACTCCCACCTAAATGTCTTTGTTGTTTTTCCACGTATTTACACTTTATTATGTACAAGATTATGTGAGGTAACCGGCGTTCTAATCTACGGGGGAAACAAACAGAAAGTGCATTTTGATGCACGGTGAGATGCGGAAACAGACAGAACAGCTGAGAAAAATAATTTAAAATCAGGGTCAAAATTAAACAGCGAGAAAGAATATATACAGAGCAAAAGCCGGGTGTTATTTAAACGTAGCTCTTTCTGGTTCCGGTACGAAGCTCCATGGTGGTGGTTGCTGGAGCTTTTGGAGTTTTGTGGACCAATGAGGTCGATGGTTTCGAAGTGGAGGTGGCCTTCTTTTTCTTGAGCATGGTGCTTCTGGCTTTTGGAGCCATCTTGTTCTTCGATGAACGCTTCTTGGTCATGGCCCCACGTTTCTTCATCGAGCTGATTGGTTTTCCCTTCTTTTGAGGGACACTGCTGGTTGATGGCTGATTTTTGTCAGTCTGCTAAAAAAAGGAAAATTCATTTTTCGCCTCTAACTCTCACCTTGCTGACCGAGATATTCTCCAACTTCTTACGAACTTCCTTGAGCATCATCATCGGCTGAGTCTGAACTGGAACCACGATTTGCATGTTCTTCTCACGTTCCTTTCCCATGCGGAAGCTGCCAGTGGCACCATGTCCGCGTGCCTAAAAATAGAAGAATTAAAAGTCAGAGATCACAAAAGGCGCGAATTTATATTTTGAATCGACAATAACAAAAAGTGCAAGGGCATTCCCATCTGACACCAACCTGTTCAATGTCACCAGAGTCAACTGCCTTTTTGAGGACGGTGCGCAGATGGTTGTTCACCTGAAATGACCATATACGGTAATCCATTAGCTAGGAATCGGAAGTTTATAGATCAAAGCTCTATTATACTCCCAAAAGTGTTGATACTTCTTTTTATGCTCATTGGTCTCTTGTCAGTGTTGTGGTGTTTAATATTTCAGTTTTTTCGCTATGTATATTTTCAGTTAACAAGAAAATTGTATTCTCTGAAAACACCTATTTAGACAATTATCGGAGGAAAGATGGGAAAACAAAGAGGGCTAGAATTGCATAGCCGATTCAAAACCAAAACACAATTTAGAAGATTTTAGAACAAAGAACTCATCCAGTGAAATTTCAGATTCAAAAATTTTGTAAATTCTAATCAAAAGAATAAATTCCAGGTTTTCTTAAATCTATTGCACCCCTCGTACCTTTGGAAGATTCTCTCCAACATGATAGTTCTGAGCAATGTACTTGAGAATCGCAGCCTTGCTGGATCCCTTTCCATTGTCGATCGCTTGGATGGCTCCCTGTAAGAATCTACAGTAATCCAATCCAAGTTCTAATCCAAATTCCAACCTTGATCATCTCCATGTAGCTCGGATGATGTTGAACTCTCTCGTGATGTGGACGTCCGAGAAGAACGTAGTTCAGAGAGATCTCCTCAGTTGAGGCATCCAGATTGTTGGCCATGTGGATCAGAGAAGTGGTCATTTCGTCAAATCGTTGAGGTTGATTCTGAGAATGAGAAGATGATTTTTGGAATAAAATGAATTGGTTAGGAGAAGGAAGGGTTACTGTATAAGAATAACAACCTGGTTTGGGTTTCTTGCAGATGGAAAAATAAAGTCTAGACACATTATTTCAGATTACAAGAAATATGAAAGTGAAAGTATCAATGTTGTATCAGAAGAGAAACTTGATAGTCAACCAGATGTTTACTCTAAAGCTTAACAAAAAAGAAAACTGTTTAAATCCTAGATTTCGTTTATTTCAACCTATTCGCAAATCGAAAAGAAAACTGAATGGCACGAACGAGGAGGGAAGGAGAGGGCGTCCTCGCCAGACCTCAATTGAAAACAAAATGGGAGAGCACAAGGACGGTAGAGGCAGAGAGACGTTGGGATTCAAAAACAGAACAAAAACACATGACAAGAAGAAGAAGGCCAGCTGGGAAGAGATCGTCGAGCGGAGAAAAGAGAATGAGAGAGAGAGAGAGTTGTTTACTCCAAAAAGAACTGCGATAGGAAAATGTGTGTGTGGACGCAAGTAGGCACGTGCCTGGGGTCGAATTCTTTGAAAAAAAGGGTTTTGCAAGAAATTTGGATTTTCGACACAATCTGAATAGCTCAGTTTCGATTTTCAGAAGTTCGAATCATAGTCATCCTTAATTTATATGGAATAGTGATGAGATAAACATGAACGATTATTGTCAACAAACAAGGAGAAGACATTTTTTGTTTTGCACGTTTATTGAAAACTAAATATAAGAGGCGGACTGGTGTGTAGACAATCGCGGGAAGTTTGGAAAGCAACGAGATATTCAAGAAAATTTTTTCTAGTAGTGCTGTTTTTAGGATTTTGCTGGATGTTTAGTATCTCAAACTTATCGTTCCAAACTTCAAGATTAAATTGATTATTTTTCCGGACAGGTCCTGAAACTTTCAAGTGTTCTAAAGGAAAATATAGTTTTTATTATGTCGTTTACATCTTTCCTGTTGAGATTATTCCGGAAAGGATATCCTATTTCCTCTAATAGAAGCCCACCCCGTGAGGTGCTTCAAAAAATAGAGCCCACCCTCTAATAAAAGCCCATGGGCTTCTATTAGAGAAAATAAGGTAATTCAAAATTTTAGAATTTTTGGAACTGTGATTTTAGGACTCGATAATTTCACAATTTCCGAATTTTCTAATTTATAAATTTTGGAATTTCAGACTTTTTGAATTCTATGACTTTTTTCGGAGTTTCAGAATTCCTGAATTTCGAATTTTGAGATCCTAGAATGTCAGAATTTCATAAATTCGGAACTTCGAGATTTAGAATTGCGGAATTAAAAATTTGAATTTTCCAAAACACTGTCAAAAACTGCCATAATTTGTATCTGAAAATTGCGAAATTTTCTAGCTGCGCACTATTTTCGGACAAAATTTTACAAAAACGTTCTTGACTACACTTGGAATTTCTTTTTCATTTTAACGAATGAAAACATTTCAGACACTCACAGCTGACAATATTCTACTCAAAATAGACAAGACTGATAAGGTAAAGCTGATAAAATCTTGACTTTTCGGAACTGTATAAAAAAGTTACCGTTAAATTCCCAAACCAAACACAGTTAACCACATGTTGATACGTTTTAATTTGAAAATTAACGGGCTCTTCTATTACAGGTTTTACGGTATTTATAAAATCGAGTATTCAAAATTCGATGTGAGCTAGTTGATAACCTTTCGATATTTCTATTTTATGCGAGATTTACACAAATCACACATTTTAAATGTGACAAATTTATTGAAGCTCATAAACTGTGTTATTTCTGCAAATCCATTTCTTATAAGCCATCATTCTGTATTGGAACAATGTAGACCGGTTGAGTAGCTGGCATCCTTGTAGAGATTACTGGTGGAACTGTTATAATTTTAATAGTCTTTTCGTTCCTATCCTCTTTCCGTTTCATCAGTAACCAAATGAGGACTAGCATCACTATCATTGTAGGCAGTGGAAGCCACCATAGGTAAGGTCTGTCGGTGTAGCCTGGGAAGTACATTTGAAAAATGTTGATATTGGTCGATATTGAGAATGATTTCTGTCATTTGGAATTTTTATGACAAATCGGGAATTCGCCTGGTACAATAGATGGTGACGATTCTTTTTTCTCTATTGTGATTCATATCACATGCTTTTCTAAACAATACTTCAGATGGTATCACAGAAAATTCTAGAAATACATCGAACATACAAGCATTATTTTGTCTTGAAAAATAAATTTAATGAACCTTTGTGATTTTTAAATTTAGGAGTTATTCCATTTTAAGCACTGGGTCCAATAGCTATGGTTCTTAGGAACACTGCAAATATTTATGAAGATTTATAAAATGGACGATTTATTAGATACGATTGTCTGTACATATTTATAGCTCGGATATTGGAAAAAACTCTAATTAGTGATAATTAAACATAGACAAATTCGTCTTTTCTAACGACTGGAGTTGAAGGCATCGACAGTCTTCCTTTTTCTTCTTTTCTTTCCTCATTTGCTTCCACGTCTACTTTCACTGGCGGGATTTTCACCGATTTTCTTGGAGGTGGAACTTGAATTTCAGCTGGCGCAATTTGAACCGATCGACGAGGAACTGCAGGGGCCACTTCAGTTGTTGGCTCCACAGGTTTTGTAGGTTTTGGTGTCCACATTGATTTTATATAGGCAATTGGTCCAAATCTGGAGGTTTGGTAGACCCAGAAAATGAGGAGCAGGCAGATAACAATAAGTATAAAAAGGATGAAACAGCTTCCAGTGTTCATGAATATGCTAAAAAATTACAAAATAAATGAAACTGAAAATAAGCAGGAAAACTGGAAATCAAAAGCAATAACTTCTTTTTATTTCAGTTTTTGGTTTCATGAAACATGCATCAATAGAAAGAATGTAGATGATTCAGGCTGGAACAATAAGTAATGCTTGTAAGGTTTTTGATGTGTTTACCAGGTTTTGGTTATTTTAAAAATCACGTATGCTACCTAAAAAAACTACAAAACTGTACTGGACCCTAACCTGAACATATTTTAGTCGGTCCATGAAGCTAACAAGGTGGCTCATAATTATCCTGACTACAGTTTGCACTAGCATAATATTTGAGTGAAGCGTTGTATTCGGCTCAAGTTGGGTGCACAAAAGTTTAAATGATTCACCATTAAACTGGCCAAGTTTCAAATTATTTTATCAACTTTGAGCTGTGTTATCGTTTGTCAAAGTTGCTTCACCTCATGAAAATCACAAAAAAACATTACACCGTTCATCTTTGAACAGTCATAACAATACCAAGGCTTGAGGAATCGGTTTGAAAATTTCAGTAGCTTTGAATCAAACGTAAAATTATATTTATACCAATTTTCTTGCTTCAAAGACACTTTTGTCTGAAGATATTCCCGTTTTTATAAGTCTGGGTATTCGTGCGCCACCCTGTAATGCACTTTCTTGTGACTTGTTTTCAACTTGAAGAGTTTGATAAAATTTATGAAAAGACAGTATCAATTGGAAATAAAAAATCTCGAATTGAACTACCTAAAGGAATGGAAAGTTTGAGAGAAAAAAGTTGAGCTCAGATGGTTGAAACTGAGCTCAATCATCCGGGAAACCAATTTGAACAGGGAATACAGTATTAGAACAAAGTACACAAATCATCACAACAATCGGTACTTAAGGTAAGAAAAAAAGAGAAAGAGAAAAGATATCGGGGTTTCTTTCGAGGGAATTTTTGTATTATTCAAAAGGGTTGTTTTTATCAAAGACTGTCACCCGTAGGCAGAAGAGAATGAGAAAAAGGAAATTCAGGTTACAAGAGATAGGAAGAAAGAGCTAAAACAAAAAAGAGTGGAAGGAGAAAATAATTGAGGGATGAAGAGTTGCATCCGTCTGTATCACACGATTGAACACATCCTTTGTATTGATGACCTTCGTATTTGAAGCTACCACAATGCGATATCCGCACTATTTCAGTGTCTGCCGTTAGAGTTCCAGAATCGAGAGCGCATGTTCGGATTACCAGCGTTTTCGATTCGTTGTCAGCTGAAAATAAAAACATTTTAAAAGTTGACGGCTTGCAACTTCTGATCAGATGCGGAGGGGTTTAGCTTTTGGACGAATAAGGGTCATGTTCTGATCGGAAGTTGCCCAAAAACGGATGTACAGCGGCCCATGGTCAGATTTTAGTCGGAAATTGATAGTTGAAATTCTACTAAATCACAACCTTGTAATGAATTTGTCCGAGTTTGATCGGTTTTAGTAGCGGTCTTATTCGGAATCGGACCAATCTCCGACCAGTATGTGCAGGCGACGCCCGAGCTTACCTCGATATCCAACAATTTTTATACAATGGTCCGCTGGAAACAAGCCGTGTCGTCCTTTTTTGTACGCCCAACAGGGATAGTTGTAATTGGCGACTGCCGACGCATCGCGATCCCTCGATGATAGATCCATGGTGGAGTTGAACGGATCCTCGCATCCCTTGTTTTCGCCGTCGAACGAGCTGCACACAAAACAGCCGATTCCCGATACTCCTGAAGCTGAAAATAAAATTGATAGAGGGTGTGAGGGATAGTGGTGGATCATTAGTGATCATAAAAAGGATCTATATTTCAGATGATAATTCAATTTTTACAGATTGATTTTTGTAGAAGAATTGTAAATTACTGTATTTAACCCGAAAGGTTGAAGCCCCTCAACCGCCATTCATTGCCATAAAACCTGTCATAGAAGGGCCCAGAGCTTTTAACTCTGAGGCAATTTTTCTTGTATCCTGTCAAAGATATGAAAAAGTTGTTAACTGATAAATTGTTTATCATAATCTTAGAGGTTTTTTGTTGGTTTTCACTTTTTTGCTATCTTGCAAAGAAATGGAGATAATTTAGCTCAAAGAATAAGTATAGGGCGGTCTTCTATTAGAGTGTTTGCCCAAACTTTTATCCAATCCCGTGAAATATTTTTGAACCATTATTCCGTAAAACCTGTATTAAAAGGACCCCTTTAACTGAAGGGTCCCTCTAAAAGAAGGGCCTTCCGAAAGGAACTTGAAAAAATAGAAGGGTCCCCTTTAATTAAAGATACCATGTCATAGAAGGGCCCTCCGAAGGCCCTCTGGAACAATAGAAGACCTTCTAATACAGGTAACTATTGAATTTCAGTTTTTTGTAACATTTCTGATAATCCCAATATTCACCTTCCATGACGGAAACAAGAAGTACAAGGAAGACGGCTAACTGTCTGGAGATTGTCGGAAACAAGAGGCGAACAGACGACGACGGCTTGGCAGACGGGAAATCGAGGCGGGACATGCACGCGTGGATCCGTGTCTCGCCCCTCCGACAGCCCCGCCTCTTCGATGAGCAACAGAGCAACTCGTTGAGCTCTGTGGCAAATCGAGAGCCGAATGGCTGATCGGATTCGTGATCACACGGGCGGCGGATGAAGGATAGGAGGCGTGAAGAGGAAACTCTGAAAAAATGGATGGAATAAATTCGAAGTTTGAAACGTGGAAAATGGAAGAAAAAGTGAGGAGAAAGAAGATGTCTCCAGGAGCAAAGAATAAGAGGGGGGGGGGGGCGAATCTTGATGGTGGAATAAGAAAAAAAAAGAGTTGTTGAGGAGAGGGCGTGTGTATCATTTAACGGGGCGTAACACTGCAAAAACACCCAGGAAATTAACGGAGACGACCCTGAATCTTCTTCTGCCTTCATCCACACAACGTCTTCTGACAAAGAAAACGATGATGATGATGACAATGATTGTATTGGGAAAGAGTATACACACTTAGTGGAAGAAAAAAACGAAGAAGAAAAAATAGGAGGAAGGGATCTTGAAGAGCTCTGCCCCAAGAGCTCTTCACCTTTTTGAGCTGAGCCGATAATGAGAAACACGAAAAAAAAAGGAAAAGAGAATCTATTGGGATTCGAGTAGTAATTATACCAAAAAAATGACTCAGTTCAGAAGAGATGATGTTCTAAGAGGTCGGGAATCTTAAAATCTTTGAATTTCATATCATTTGAAGCAAGGCAGTGGACTACGATTGAGACGGTCGCGGTCTCAGGAAAAAATCTTGAAAAGCCGCGGCGGGCCGCGGCTGGCCTTCAGTTTGCACAGCCTCAGTTTGAAGCATGCCGGGGTGAGAATTTTTCATGTAATTTTAAAGCAACAAAAAAAGATCGGGTTCAAAATTAATTATGTCAGTTACCTCTTCAAAAATATGCCCTTTTTTGGGTGTGGTCTGATCTAAAAGAAAAAAAAGAAACAAGACAAAAAAAAGAGAAAAACAGAAGGAGTTCGAGGAGAAAAGAAGCGGCTGGTCTGGAAAAGGAAAAAGAGTATACGATTACGCCTTCCCTTTGCCATTCTCTCCAACCAACTTTCTTTTTTTTCTTTCGTTTTTTTCTGCTTCGGAGATATGTGACATGAAGCAAAACACTCACATACACCCAAACACTATTGGTGAAAAAATGGAACAGCAGGGAGAGGGAGAGAGAAAAAAGAGGACATTTCAAATATTTTTTGAGTCAGGACATCTTTGGAAGCTGTCTCGGAGAGTTTTATCTATTTTTGTTTACTCGGAAAAAGAAAAAAAAATATTTAAAAGTTTGTATGGAAAGTGAAAGTGCATGTTCTGCGAGTGACAGCCGTAAAAAGTTGTTTCAGCGAGTTCAATTTCAAAGAATGATCGCAACTAGGACGTCAAGAATCAAAGAAGTGTTTAGCTAATATTCAAAGGTTTTCGAGAATATTAAAACGAATTGGAAATTTTAAAAAGTTGAGAAACGAAGGTAGAAATTCAAGATTATTCGTACTCAAGTTTGTACTGACAAAAAATTGAGTAAATCGTTGTCCTGAGCTCTCGCCGTTCATATTTGGGCAATCATAACAATAGCTAGATTTGAAGGATCGCTTGGAAAATTTCAGTAACTTTGAATCAAACATAAAGTTATATTCTACCAATTTTCATGCTTTCAAGACGCTTATGTCTAAAGATTTATCCGTTTTTATCATGCGCCACCCTACGAAACTTTCGAAATTTTTCTCAACTGGATGATGTGGTTTGTAGTAAGACCTTTTGGTTCAGACAACTTTTGAACTTTACTCCCATCATCATCTTTTTCCTTGAAACAAGAGCAAAAAATACATTCGGGACTTGCAGTTTTGCACACATGCACACACGCACACCACATCCGTTTTCGGAGAAATTCTTCATTTGGTTAATTTGAGATATCTCTTCTTTTTCAAAGTTTCAGTTTGAGAAGAAGAACAAAAGTGCAATAGGTGATTGGATGAAAAAAGTATAAAAACGACGGAGATGAAATGAACAAATGGGAAGGAAGGGAAAGAAAGAGGAGGAGTATGTAAAATGTATCTCTATTCGAGAGTGGATTTAGCCCCTAACACAATGAGAGAGCACGGGCCCAACGGGACCCACTATTTGCTGGTATTCAAGTGTATCACGTTACCAATTAAATGGTGGTGGTGGTGGTTGAAAAGCTGGTAGGAAAGAGCACTGAAGCCCTATTTTCTCGTGGAAACAGAAACACAAATAGGGGTGGCTCCTCAGGCAGGGTGCCACACGACGAGAAGAAGCATGTTTAAGAGCAGAAACACACCCATCACAAAATGAATTATGTAACAGAAAAAGGAAGGGGAGCCGAGCCCTCTGACACCGAGAACCTCGGCGGCTCCCACTGTGTCACATACTTGGAATGGAATGGAAGAAACAAGATTGTGGAAGAGAAAAATAGGGGGAAAAGGTCAGTTAGATAAGTGCATGTAGCTTGGGAAAGAGAGCAGCCATAAGACATCGGAATTTGGTTTTCGAAGAGATTTTTGGAGATTTAGGGATTGTAAAAAAGTTTCTGATTTGAGGCATGTTGGAAAAAATGGCAATGATCGGATCGTCTGGAAGTTTTTGTCTGTAGTGCATAGTGTTCTACAATTATATTTTTGTACTGTTGATTTAAAAATGCTAAAGCCAAACAAGTTCTTGGGAATATTTCAGAAATTTTGAACGATAATTCCATTTTCAGAATATTTGTGCTTTTCACGCCCGGATCGTAGAACTTTGAAAATTTTTTAAGTTTCAAGAATTAATAAAGTTATATAAATCCATGAAAAATTGATGGAAATTTATTTCACAATTGATTTTTTACTCAAAAATTAACTATAGAAAAATGAGCTCCGGAAAATCGGGCGGATCCAGACCGCACCGGGCCGTAGAAGTTTTCCCTCTACTCCGGCCCAATTATAACTTTCGAACGCTCAAGATATGAAACAAATGAGTGAGTCTAAGAATTAATAATTGGCCCAAAATATTTTTAAAATTCAGGAAAACTCAGGAATCGTTGCAGTCCATTACTGTAAAGCTGTGATAGAAAGTCCTCTACACTGTCAAGTTTGAGCTCAATTATCTCAAATCCCATGCAAGGTCAAATATTTGTTTACTAAAAATGTTGTGATATTATGAGAAACAATTTATCAGTTGATCACTTTTTCGTATCTCTGACAGGAACGAAGATAAGTTTTCTCTAAGTTCAAAGTTAGGAGCCCTTCTATTACAGGTTATGCGGTATATCAGTTCGGGGAAGAGATGACAGGTTTTACTGTATATAAACTTCAGACAAAAAACCTGTCTCCTCTGCAATGAACTCTTGAGAATAGCTAAAAAATCATTTGATCTTACAAATCACTAAAAATATCGTTTTTGCTGGACAGTCTGTGGTCAATAATCCATCTTTTTCTAGGTGTCACCTAACAAAATGATTGACAACCAGACAGAAGTGAACGTTATCATGATAAGCCTGCAGGTGTGATAAATATCCGTTTCCAGATGGTTTTATTTCAGGAAAACGACGTCGCGTGTTTGGAATACGTTTGACGTTAACGACAGAGAAAAAAAGGAACAAGAGGAGTAGAAAAAAAGAAAGGAAAAAAAGCAACAAGCATACTCACACATATACAAAAAGGCGAAAGAATGACACGAAAAAAAGGAATTGTTTGGTTGCAAACGGGAGGCGAAAACCCTCGGAGAGAAGGCGAAGAAGCAACGGAGGACAACGTCACCGACACAATGTCACCCTATAGAATTTGAATAAATAACGTCACATATTGAAAAATAGAAGAAGCAAATGAAGTGTGAAAAATGATGGGGTGGGGGAGGCTAGAACTACGTTGAAAGGGTTTCGTTAGTTAAAAGTACAGGTTTGGTTCCTTTTCTTGGGAATTTTAATATTTGAAGAGGTAACAGAAATACCCTCAATTATTAAAAGTTACTGGCCGATAGGTATATTCATGAAAAATGACAACTATTCAATTAAAGCGGACTAGCATACCGTATTACATGCAATGGAAAGCTTTCAACTTCAAGCTCATATATCTCGGTTCCTGTCAAAGATATAAAAAAGTGTTCAACTGATAAATTGTTAATCATAATATCACAAATATTTTATCACCCAACACAATTTTTATACATTTTTCAGGAGCCTAGATAATTGAGTTCAAACTTGGCAGTCCCTAATACAGGTTTAACGGTATATGAAATCAAAAAATGACAAATTCTGTCAAAAGGACGAAATCGAGTAGATTGATTCCCGGCTCATAACGATCGATTCAAAAAAGTTGAACGAAGGATGAGTGAAAAATATATTCCAACTTTTATCCTTCCAATTCCTGAAGGTATACTTCAATTCCTCCCAAGTATACACACACACAAAAAAATTCATAAATCATCGGTCACCTCAGACAACTTGGTACGAAGTTCTACGAACGTTTATGTGCAGTATCCATGCATTGAAATAGATTCAACCAGACTCAAAAAAAACTAGACGGATAGAATTTAACGATTGGGCTCTCAATAAAAAGTTCTCTAATCGCACCGGCTTTCCGTCGAATCGAAACATGATGGATGTAGTCATTGTGGCTGGCGGCCCTTATGACAAGACCGGTTGAATAAAATAGTAGGAAGAGAATTCATCAAGAGAATGGGCTTTTGGAGACTTCACTGGGGGAAAAACTTTTTTTTGCCTTTCTCCCCTTTTTGCCAAAAAAAAAGAAATTTGAGATGTGGTCTTACTAGGCGTAGTAGTGCTGTGATGCATTGGCCGAAAAAATTGAGCATAGATGGGGGGACGGGGGGACCTCTCTCAAAAAAGAGTATTTATACATGTTTTCAGTTTTTTCACAGCTACTTCAAGCAGCAGCTTCTTTGTGTCGGGTTTTTTTGCCGAGCATTACATTTAGTGGATAGGGATTTAGTGGATAGAAATGGAAAAACAAGAGCAGGTGAATATGAATTTTTTATTGT